TATTACAATTATGGTATAATATACACCAAAAGCCTTTTCTAATCAGTAAGGCCCCTATATAGGGTTTGGGATCGAGCTTCAGTGAAGTATAGCCCGTGACCCCAGTGACCAAAAGAGTCACGGCCGGCGGTGTTAGTCCACCCTGGCATCGCCGAGCTAGAGCTTTGCGGAGCAGAGCTCGCAGGCGGATCCATAGAAGAAGAGCTCTGTGCCTGCCTCCTCTTCTCTCCGACCTGACACGTCTACGCTCCCATCACACTAGGCCTGGATATCGTGAGGATCCCAGGTGTTCCATGGGTCGCGGCAGACGCGGTGCAGGACGACAGGCCGCCGACAACCAGTCATGGGGGTCCAACGACCATTGGCAGTACTGGTCGGGAGCCTGGCAGTTATCGCCATCTCCCAAAGGAGTAGCGAAAGCCAAGGCGAAAACCGCCCGGTACGATCATGTGGATCGTGGCAACAGCAAGACGAGGACGAATACTGGCGCCGAGCCTCCGTGGAGGGCAGATGGTGGCCCGGGGACGCCAGCGATGACCGAGACCATGACGCAGGCAGTCCAACGAGCACTGACCCAGACGAGAAAGGCGGATGTCAAGATCAGGCGCTTGCAGGAAGAGCGCGAGCGCAAGCAGGACCTTTGGGTCCAATTCAAGGAGAAGGCGAAGAGGGAATATGCCCAGCAGAAGAAGCTCTTCGAGACCGACGTTGCGCAGATCGACAAGCAACTCGCGGAGACCGCGGAAAGCGGCAGCCAGGCGGCCACGCGTGTGCAGGACTTGGTGTTGAGAGGAGCCGCGGCTCTGAGACAGCCCAATATCGACGAGCATGTGGAGATGGAGTGGGAACAGCTGATAGCCTCTTCGGACGAGCCAAGGGGTGGTTTCTATGGCGAAGCCCTCAAAGCTGCTCAGGAATTATCCGAGGTCCCGTCGGATGCATCGGTGCGCAGAGCCCTGCAGAGCGCCTCAGACTTCCGGACCCCAGCGAGGAGGGGTGCTCTGGCTCCGCGGTCTCCCACGGTGACAACGGCTTACCCGGGCTTGGCTGGCGAGGCGACCTTGGTGGGCGGGGCTGCGGCAGCATCGGGCGTTCAGGTGGATCCCTACCCCTCTCCGATGTCAACAAGCTCCCTCACGCCAACAGTCACGGGTGCGATGGATCGCATGTCTGTGAAGGAGGCAGCTGGTGCGAACAAGGGCACACCGATCCACACGGGACAGCGAGATTCGTCCCAACCGCGGGTCCCTACACACGTGTCAGCCCCACGTCCTGGTGTCAAGCAGGAGTCGCATCCGACGGCACCGATTTCAGAATTGTGCAGGGTCAAAACTCTCGGCGACAAGCTCCAGGAGGCCCGGAGTGCTATGATGCCCTTTGGACTCCCGATGGAATCGGGTGCAAGGCCTTTGTCGTCCGCCCCGGAGGCCCCGCACACGGTGTCACTCGACGAGGAAGACGACGACGAGGATCAGCTGATCACCGAAGCCGTGGCTCGGTCTTCAGGCGCAATTCACCCAGGATAGCCTATGCCTTTCTAGCTGGGGACGTTGCCTTTTGGAGACCCCGAAAGGGCCCGCGAGCGTGGAGACCTGGCCGAGACATGGGGATTTGTCGGTATCAGGTTTCTCGCCTGCAGCTGCCCTTGAGGGAAGGATCTTCAAGGCAATGGATCTCGGCAGCAGGGCATGGCTTTGCTACGAACGGTGAGAACTGTGAAAGTGAGCCGGGGATAGGTGTACAGACTTTCTTCCTGTCTTCGGAACCCTCCGATCGACTGATCCTAACGTCCCTAGGCCCTGTCTTTGCTGGTCAGCCGCACCTTTATCTTCGTGGGTCTCCTCGCTGCCCCTTTCCCCGGTTCCAGCACTGGGTTTGTGTTGTGTTCCGGGTCGAGGGGTCGTCTTCCTCTGCCCTCCCAGCCTGGCGCCTTCTTGCCGCTCAGTGCTGTGGGGCCTCGCCACGATGCCATGCAATGGGATCCAATTGCTGCAATTCTGTGTGTCTTGAGCCGTGTGCCGAGGGAAGAGAGTCGGCGCCTAAGAGGCGTATCGGTGGCTCAGGGGCGCCCGCCGACTCCCTACCGGTCGACTCGTCGCGTTTGTTTTGGGTCACTGGCCCTGCCTGCCTATACTGGGTCACAGCAACTTACGTTTGCATCTGGGCCTTTGGCAGAGCGCTCTGGCAGCTCAGTGATCATGGTCCCGGCCTATTTCTGTGGAGTTTCCTTCGCCGGGTTGCCCTCTGTGTGAGGGATGTTTTGCCAGGCGTAGGGGCCCCCCTAGCCTGTATGCAGCAGAGCGCTCTGGATCATGTGTGCCCGTCCGCGGCCTCTTCCTGGCCAAGGGTGATGTGCGTTATGCTGGGGATGCCAATCGGCCTTGTAACGGCCTTCATGTCGAGCCTCTGTGAGGGGTTGCAAACCTTAGGACACGGGGCAGCACTGGTAGTCTTTATGTGGCTATTAGGCTTGCTGCTTCGAGGATGCCTGCGTCCACGCCAGGGTGCAGGCCTGTCAAAGCACACATGGTCGCGTCGTATTGCTGGTGTGTGGTCTCCGCGCCTATGTCACTGCACCATAGGCAATGCCTCGGGTCGAGGATCAATCTCCGTCCATTCGAAGGCTGAACCACGCAAGCCTGTTCAGATAAAGTGCCGCGGCAGTGTGTGGCGTGTGCTGCGTGCGGCTGCTTACGCTGCTCTGTGTTTCCGCATGCCTTCATGTGTGAGTGCCGTTCCCGGCGGCCCTTCCGAACAAGCAGCAGAAGCGGCTGCTGTTTTCCTTTCCTACCCTGACGCCCATCCAGACCCTCTTGGCGTTGGTCTCGTATTCGAAGGGTCTGATGGTGTTGCGTCAGGTTCTGTTCCGGATGCGACAGAAACGTCGAATGCGGCAGATAGGGAGGCTGGCCCAACCGATGTCGGTAGTCCTGCGTGGCGGGCAATGGTCGCCGAGGTCCAGGCAGAGGCATTAGCAGAGGTGCATGACAATGGTTCTTTGGACGCGGGTGACTCTGTGTCCGGATGCGACGGGGGCCACTTGTCTGGTGCCACAGGTTATGTTTCCTGCATGGTATACCTCGTGAAGCCCGCATACACACCGGACACGTTTCAGCTTGAGCTGCAGGTCCCATGTGAGGCAAATGATGCTGTACGGGCTGTCGCCAGGGCCTCCACTTACAGCCGCCCGCCCTATGTCGATGCCATTGAGGCGGCAGACCCACAGCCAGCCCACGACTTTGCCACGTTTGTTGCATTCCCCGAATGGTTGACCTTCGCCGGTAAAGTCGCTGTTGTCCTTGACCTCCGGCTTGGTTGCCCTGATGCCAGTGGCCCGATAGTGGGAGCCTATCTATCGAGGCCAACGTCTTGTGCAGAGATAAAGAGGGAGGCGGGAATGTACTCCATGGGAGACTGTGCCATCCTTGTTGGCACAAGTATGAGCCCCCTTCGCGACGATGAGGAAGTCCACCTCACCCATGGGAAGACTGTCAGGGTCGTACGCAGGCAATTTCCACTTGTGCCTTTGACCACTCTAGATAGTGTACTTGGCAGAGTTGATTTTACGGGCTTCCTGGGCACCCCGCCCAGTGTGCCAGAGGCCAGGTGCCTTATGCTCTTGCGAAACGAGGGCATACATTTCTTCAGCGGCAACAGGCCTCCAGGGGTCTCTCTCAACACAGCAATTGCTGAGTTTGTTGGGGCACAGCATGGGACGGTGACCTTTCATGCCCCAGCTGAGGGATGCCTGACTCAAGTGTCCCATCGAGGCACCAATCCTAAGGGGATTATTGCTGTTGTTGACGCTCCGCCGAGGGATGAAGATTCCATTGTCGTGTTTGTCGACCTCAGGCCGGTCGCTGGCGACCCCAAGTACATTCGGACCCCCCTGCCTCGGGTCGATTTTGCCGTCTTGGAAGGTATGTTGCCACAGCCTCCGCCCATTGGATGGCACATGGTCATCAAAGGAGGTAGGCGCAGGCGCCATTATCTTGCTGTAGACCACAGGGAAACAGTGGTGTTAGGATTCGCAAGTGATGTTTTCCCGGCTGAGGGTTTTGGGGCCTCTTCGTCTTCATCCGGCCCATCTGATATGGAGGACGCGGAGGACGAGGAGGCTACTGAAGATCCTTCTCAGGACAGCACACGTTCTCGGAGCCGTCCAAGGCCAAGGAGTGATCAGGACGGTCAATGTCCATCTCCCTCCCTGGATCCCTCTTTTCAAGGCTTTCCTGAAGACCATGCAGCCAATCTTAGCGTCCCGCCCGCCTACACCAAAAACCTCGAATTGACACGGTGCCTGTGTGTCCCAAGTGACCTTCCAGTGCATCGGCGTGTGCAGGTGCTCCTTGATCTTCCATTGATGTCCCACATCAGGGTTGAGCTTGCACAGCCTGACCTCGAGATTTGCTTCCCTGTCAAAGGTGACCTCTGTGCACCAGTGAGGTGTAAGCTCACCAGACCTGATCAGGGAGCTGGGGCTCCTCCGGCCGACCGGCCTCAGGAGAGGCTTCCGGCCCAGGAGCTGCATTACGATAGCGACACTGAACGTGCGGCGCCAGCCCCAGTGTTTGCTGTTCCGGCCCCAAATGTCGTTGCAGGCCCAGGTCTAGAGCGGCAGCCCTTCGTTGCAGCGGCCCTGATCTTTGTGCCAGAGTACGTTCCCGAAAGTGTCTCCGCAGACCTTTGGTCAGGTATTTCGGTTACGGAAGCTGCTGCCTGCTTCCATCGCAGCAGAGATGCTGCAAGCCAGTGGCGATTCCCACAGCTGCTGCCGGTGCGGCCCCAGCCTTTGACGGCCTGCGCGTGCTTTGTTGCGGTTGCGCCCTGGGCCTTCGCTGTCTATGTGTTGATCGACTGCACTAGAGTGAATGGAACCCTGTATTGTGTCCAGGTTCCCCCCGTTGTTGACAGGGGCTCTTTAATCTCTATTGCGGGTTTGGCAGCCGACATCAATGTTGAGGTGTATGTAGGCGAGCATCCTCATCCGATCGTTCCAGGGGACACGCTCAGAGTTGCGGCCGGGACGTGCATCCACATTGTGCCGGTTGGCCACCCAGTGTTTGCTGTGGCATACTTGGAGGACATGCTGCTATCGCCTGATGGCTGGCTGCCTGAGTACGTCCCCCCCCGGCTGGAGGGCAGTTGGCTCTACCTGGTCAATGATGATGAGCCCTGTCTGCTAAAGACTGCTGCTGACCGCCGCCTCGCTCTTAGAGCAGACATAGCAGCGCAAGTCGGATACCCCGAGGAGAGCATTCATGTTTACCCTGGAGTTCCAAGGGTTGGCGACTTCTACGAATACGGTGCAGGAGCCCAGCAGATCCTCATTGTCACGCAGCTTGCCTCACCAGAACCGGGCACGGGTGTCGACAGAAGCCCGTTCATCCTCGACCTGCGGCCCATTCATTGTGGGATCACTTGGGGTTTTGCGCGGCTGGGGCGGGTCGAGTCTAGGATGCTCGTTGAGCGGTTCTCTGACTTCTGCCCTGCAGGGTACTACGTCTCCCTCTCCGGCGGACGCCAGAGGTTGCAGTTTGAAGGCCTGTTCTTTGAAATGCAGCCCGGGGAGGTCATGACTGTCGATTTTCGGCGGGAGCTCGTCGACGATAGTGGGACCGACGATGAGGGGAGCACTGGGGCTTCTGATTCATCCAATCCGTCGCCGCATCGAAATGGAGAGGCGCCCCCACCTCCGCCCGCCTCGCAGGATGGTCAAAGTTCAGACGAGGATAGTCCGTTCCGAGATGCAAGGGAGCCCGACGCTCGCAGTCGGAGCCCCCACCGCCTTTCTGGAGTTGCTGTCCAGCATGTGCCATTCGGCAGTCGAGTAGCCATATGTGCCAGGGGTTATGTTCAACATGCCCGCGCTTGGGGCGCCCCCTGGTTCATCCCTGTCCTCCTGTCGGAGACCGTGTGTTGGGTGCTCCATATTGGCGCCAATAAGCGCTGGCCTGGGCTCTCATGTCGGTTGTCACGTCCAGCGAAGCATGGTTGTGTCTACGGAAGCCTCCTTTTTGGAGCCCTGGCTGTCATAATGATAGGCATTTACCATCATGCCGTCTCTCAGGGCGTTCTGTGTCTGCTTGTGTGGCGGCTTCAAAAACGATGGCCTCGGGACCGTGTAGGGACCAAGGGGTTGCTGCTACTTGCACTTTTGCTGTGCGTCCCCTGCGTTGCGGCAACGCCTGTTGATGTACTTCAAGCTCCTCTAGGTCCACGTGCACTTGTTGACACGGTCGCTACAGTCCCTCCTTTGCTTGTGTGTGAAGGCCTCCGCAACCAGCCCGGCAAGCTCACAATTGCTTCTGCTGGCCGGGTGATCCCAACACCTGCCAGAGCCCATCAGGCACAGCCAGCCGTGCTGCACGCAGACGAAGGAACAAGCGAAGGTGGTGTTATAGTTGACGGCGAGGAGGAGGTTGTCAGCGGAGCCGAGGATTGCATCACGAGCGGAAGTAGCCCGCAGACCATTGACCTTGCCGAGTGTGTGCCACTCTCGCCGTTCCAGCAGCAGGTTCTCAGCTTGCACGCCATAATTCCTGCAACTGTCTCATGCGAAAGGCCGGGTGCTCTCGTAGATTGGTTGGACAGTGACCTTCGGGGCCTTCGGGCAGACCCTCTCGTCCCCCAAGCCAAGCTCCAGTTGTTTGAGTCGATTTCTCTTTGGGCCAACTGCTCCGGTGAAGACTGTCCCACGGATGTGGTTGTTTACACCGACGGATCGGCTAGGTCCGGACAGGACATTCATGACATTTCTCCTGGAGGCTGGGCCGTTTCGGTGTGGGTCAGGTGTGGTCCGGAAGGCCGGGAGCATTTCGTTGGCTGCGCGTCGGATGTTCTTGTTGATGAACTCGACAACAGATTCGTGGGTGCTTCCGAGGATGACCCACTAGTGTGCGAGCAGCTTGCTCTGGCTTGGGGCTTTGCGTGGGTGATTGAGTTCGGCCCGAGCTTTCGCCTGCCAGTCACCATTCGCTACGATTGCCTGTCTGCCGGACGAGGAGCGTTTGGGGTTGCCAAGGCACCTCGAATTAATGAAGGGGATGCCACCTCGGCCATGTCCTTGTTCCTGTGCTACTTGCGGCAACTCGCCGAGGCACGTGTGTCCCTTACACACGACCACATTAGAGCCCACGCAGGACACGTTGCCAACGAGCTCTGCGATGAACTGGCTAAGCGGGCCAGGCGCTGTGAAGAGGCGTGCAGCGGCGAACTCCTTCCTTTGTGGCCAGGGCAGCTTTTTCGCCATCCGCTTAAGGCATGGGCGTGGCTCCCGGCCTCGGGTACTTGTGACCTTCCGGCCCTGTTTTCCTTTGAGACCGAGGCTTCCAGATTACAGCAAGCCGACCTGGTTGGGAGCGAGCCGCCCTCGATGGGCAAGCAGTGTCCGCCGGCTACCGAAGGGCGGACCGACTATAGGATTTGTGTAGTCACTGCCAATGTTCTGACCCTCCTAGATCCAAAGCCAGGCCCTCACCCAGTGAACTGTAGTGAGGGACAGGGTTTGAGGGTAACTGCCAAGCGCGAGGTCCTGAAGCGCCAGTTCAATGACGTTCGGGCCCTCCTTATAGGGCTGCAAGAGACGAGACTCCGTGAGGCGGCACTGATGCCGGATGGCCAGTACTTCATGCTGCACGCCCCGGCTGATGATGATGGCCACCACGGGGTAGCACTGTGGGTCAGCAAAGAGCACCCATACGCATACCACCAAGGAAAGCCCCTATTTCTGCAGCTCCAACATATGGCGGTGACAGTCAGCGAGTCTCGCTTAATGGTGGTGCAGATCTGTGCCCCCAAGCTCTCCTGGACGGTCGTCGTCGCACATGCCCCTTCGGACTCATCGCCGGACTCAAGGGTCGCACGTGCCTTCTGGAATCGCTGCCGCAAGGCTTTGAGCCGCAAGCCGGCCAAATCGGAGATAGTGCTCCTAGCTGATGCAAATGCCCGAGTTGGGAGTCTGCCCTCAGACTCTATTGGAGGCTGCGATCATGACGAGGAATCACTCACAGGGCAGGTGCTGCACCAGTTTGCTGTGGATGAGCAGCTCTGGCTCCCTTCCACCTTTTCAGGGTGCCATACGGGCCCCAGTCCCACTTGGGTCTCCCCAGCCGGCCAAGCCTTCCGCATCGACTACATAGGTGTCCCGCTAACCTGGCCGGAGTCCTCGGTTCGGACTTGGGTCTGGCGGGAGTTCGAGTCGCTGCAAGTGCGAGATGATCACTTTCCTCTGGTGCTGCAAGCGGACTTTAACAGAGGTGCCTTGCCCGAAGGTCAGGCCATTTTTCGGAGACAGGCGATCCGCCCTCCTCGAGATGCCCCATCTGAGGACTATGTTAGTGCCTTGACAGCGATCACGCGCATGCCCGCCGCCTCCTGGGGGGTAGGCGTGGACGAGCACTTCAAGAATGTTGTGCAAGCATGGCAGGAGGCCGGCCAGCTTCTGTGTGAGCGTCCCGGCGCAGAGGCCAGGCAGACCTACTTGTCTGACGACACATTGCGTTTGGTGTCGTGGCGCAAGGCTTGGAGACGTCGCCTGCGCGCTCTTAAAGAGTCTCAACGGGGTCGGCGTCTTGCGGCTTGTTTGCTTGCCTGGGTTTGTTATGCTGGATCTATTCACCCCAATGAGGCACAGGGGGCGGCACTTTGGACCTGGGCGCGAGGCTTCGATGTCGAAGTTGCACAAGCCGCGATGCTGGTCTCTCGCCTTGGGCGTGTGATCAAAGGAGCAGCCAAGGCCGACCGGGTGGCCTATCTCGGTCGTCTGGTCGAGGATGTGTCGCTTGCTGATCTTAAGGACCCCAAGATCTTGTTTCAGCGCGTTCGCAAGGCTTTCCCGCAAACAAGGCCGTCAAGGCGCCCTCTTCTTTGCCCGCTCCCAGCCGTCCAGGGCACAGAGGGTGAATTGGCTTGTAGTGCAGCTGACAGGTTCGAGCAATGGCGAGCCCACTTTGCCACGCAGGAAGCAGGTGACCAGGTCGCGGATCCAATGTACATCGCCTCCCTCCGTGATCAGAAGGGAGCGACCCCTGCTCTCAGCCCCGTGTTCGACCTGCACTGCATACCTACGTTGACTGCAGTCGAGCAGACGCTATGCGGCCTCCCCTTCGGAAAGGCAGCAGGCTACGACAAAATCACTGGGGAACTGCTCCGCGTTCATGCGCCGTCCTCTGCCAGACTGCTGACCCCACTGTACGCCAAAGCTGCCTTGGGCTTGTATGAGCCGATCGAGTTCCGGGGGGGGGCTCTGATCCCCCTAGCCAAACGCGCAGCAGCGTCTATGACGTGCGAGAAGTTCAGGAGTGTGTTGGTGTCCAGCCTCCCCGGCAAGATTTACCACAGGCAATTGCGGACGATGCTGCTTCCAGCTCTACAGCGAGTTCGAGGGGATACGCAGGCGGGGGCGATCCCAGGCATCTCCACAGAGGCCATTGCCATGGTGGCTAGATCATTCCGAGACATAATGTCCCACAGACGCCAAGCTTGGGCGCTTACCTTCTTCGATGTTCGCGCGGCGTACTACAGAGTCATCCGCCAAGTGCTGTTGGAAGTAGGTGATACCGAGAAGGCACTGCGCAGGCTCATGCACGACCTCGGCGTGCCCCATGAGGCCTTCCACGAGCTCCTCTCTCGACTCACGGCCATCGGTGCCGTGACCGCGGGGGGCACCTCGGAGCATCTGAGGGGCATCCTGTCCGATGCCCTTCAGGGCACATGGTTTCGTCTTGACCTTGGGTCCGCCTTAACCATTACGCACAGGGGTGTGCGTCCGGGGGATAGTCTTGCGGATGTTTTGTTTGCGTTCACATTCAGTGCCTACGTCGCGTCAACCGACAGGGCCCTTGAGCAAGCAGGTCTTTCTACGGCCATGCCAGACTGTGGAACGCCGAGCCTATGGTCAGCACTAACTCCTCCTCCTCTTCTGGGTTGCGGATCATGGGCGGATGATTTTGTGCAAATGACTGCACATTCATGCCCCAGTTCTATTGCCTCTCGCGTTACCCGGATAGTAGGTGTGTTTGCGGAGCAAGCGGAGTCTGTCGGCATTCAGCTGACGTTCGCGCCGGACAAAACAGCCACAATGCTGTCACATGTCGAAGGCCAAGTTCCCCCGGTCAGCCGTGACGATGAGGGACTGTTCCTCTCCGTCTGCAGTTCTGTGACAGGCATGATCTACAGGCTGCCCATAGTAGATGCCTACAGACACCTCGGGGGGATCGCTACCACATCGGGCACCCCAGTGCCGGAAATTGGCTACCGCCACTCCCTTGCGATGTTAGCCGTCAGGCCCCTCCGGTCCCGCCTGTATTCGGCCTATGGCATTCCTCTCGAGATCAGGCGCAATCTGTTACGCTCTCTCGCCGTCTCCCGGTACATCTTTGGCAGTGCGGCGCTGCCCCTGCACACAGCAATCCACAGGCGGCTTTGGTCCAAGCACTACGTGGCGCTCTGGAGGCACTTGTGGAGGCGAGGTCAGGGTGAGCATTACAGGCACTGCTTTGCTGTGCTGGGGCCCGCGGGGGCCCCTCCACCTCCTCTTGCACTGGCGATGTCCAGGGCTGTGCTCCTCCGGCAGATCACCGCACACGGGCCGGCCACTCTCCAACAACTTCTGCATGTGCAGAGGCAAGAATCTCCCAAGACTGCTTGGTTGGGATCTGTGCAACGGGACATCGAGCATGTTGCACAGTATGTCCCAGCGGCCCGGACCCTTCTTGGTACCCAGGACCCTGTTCGCTCCCTTGTCGAAGCGATCAGCGACGACAATGGCTGGTGGGTTCGCCAAATCAAAGCGGCGAACAAACTCGCTGTGTCCGATATGGTCAAGTGGGTGCAGGCCAGGCCTGGCCCCTCGCCGGAGGCCAATATGGCTGGCAACATTGCTGGCGATGGTACGGACACTCCCGGTCCCTCCTTCCAGTGCCCATGGTGCACTGCTGCGTTCCCTAAACGGAAACACTTGGGGGCACACATGGCCAGGTCACACGGGGTTTACTCGCCAGTGCGACACATCGTGTACACGCCTACCTGCGTACACTGTCTTCGGTGCTTTCGCACCATTGCCAGGCACCAGGCACACCTCAAGCACAATGACGAGTGTCTTTTGCAGTCATGCCTTCGGGTGCCGCACATGCCCATATCGGAGGTCCGGGAGGTGGAGAGTGCCGAGGTTCACCAGGCGAAGTGTATTCGCCGCGGCGCCTGGGAGGCGTTCTCTGCAGCTCTTCCGACGCAGCAATGCCAGGGTCCCAAAGTGCTGACCGCGGAGGAGCGCATCACGCTCCTGGGGGAGGACCTAGATTTGGGTCTTCTCTCCCGCCTTTTCAGGCCTGATCCGACCTTTCTGTCTTGGGTCATTTCCTTCATCCAGGGAAGGTCTAAGGAGGGACCGAAGGGATATGCCGCATCCTTTTGGGACGTCCGACCTGGACAACACCAGTTTCACCCGAATTCTAGATGCTATGGACGCGCCGCTTGACGGCTCTGAAGTCTGCGGAAGAAGAAGGCCCCTATATTAGTCATTAAGGCCCCTATATTAGGCCAACGCCTCTTGTACTTCTCCTCCTCATAACGGTCCGCCATCCAGGTGATGCCGAAGGCTGGCTCACCATTGAGCTTGTTCAGGTGATCGACTCTTTGCTGCGTGGCTTTGAAGAGCTGGTAGCGGGCCGTTTCCTCGCCCTTGCCGGAATAGCTCTTCTGGTACTTGTGCTTGAAGGCCTCCCAGTCCGGGTCAGAGATAGCGGCCACTGCCAAGGGAAGAACAGCCCAGGCCAACGCGCAGAACATGATGCAAAGCTGAAACCTGAAAGCCCTTGTGGTCCTTGCTTAAAGCCTTCGTCGAGCCAAAATGCCTGCACCAAAATGCTGAAGTTTAGTGTTTCGGATGAGTAACAGCCGTCACAATCCAAGAGTCGAAGTCAAGAGCCCTTATGGCCGAAAACGCTTCTAGGCTGCAGTACACCAGATTACGATTGAGGATGCTGATCTGCCATCCACTTCTGTAGTTGTTTTTCAACTTCCTATATTCCGGGTACAGCTGACAGAGGCATGCGATTCTATGGGACAGGGGCGGGGCCTGGCAGTGATGTAATGTCGCAAGCAGGTCCTAGCCACATAGGTTCATCAATAAGATTCCGTCAAAACTCTTAAACGCAAACACTCCGACTTGCACCGGTTCCAGCTTCCTGCAACATGCACTGCGATCCGAGAGAAGCGCCGGTCAGCAGTCGGAAGCGCCGATTAAGAGTTCAACATCCAGACATATACCATATATATATATATATAGCATATATATATATATAGAGAGAGAGAGAGAGAGAGAGAATGATATACTATATTATATGATATACACTACTTAATTTAATATAATATGTACAATAGTAGCCAAGCCCCCCCCTGGCCCAAGTGAGACCAAGCTGCGGCGCAGCTGTGTCTTTGAGCCGTGGCCGCCGCTTCTGAGCCCTCGCATTCGGCTTCGGACTCGCTCAGGCTGGGAAAAGAAGCATATACAAACTATACACTATATACTACATACAGTATACATACTAGATATGCTTTGTATACGAAGAAAATACACTCTCTCTCTCTCTATATATATAGATATATTGATATATATTGTGTAAATAGTATATATGCTAATTACTGGCTATGTATATATATATATATATACACATGTATGCCTGCAGTCATGTGAAGAGTTTGCCTGCAAGGTGCATGCGAATTTCAGAAGACAATGGTCTGACCCGCCTGGCAATGGCCCCCTCGCAATCCAGCTCCCCGGACGGCACATGGGCGCCCAGGGGGCGATGGAGCGCCATGCCGGCGCATTGCAACGCTTGTTGTTTTGGAGGGCGCTGCGTGTGCAGAGACTGGACTGAGCCTTTCGGGTCAAGCAGGACTTTCAAGTGTCGGCTTGGCCGGCTTGCCGTGGCTTCAGGTGGTTAGCAGGCTCTGGATCCATGGTTTGGTGGCGGCATCCTACTTAAAGCCTGTCAGTTGGGAACAGGTATGGGGACATGTACGAACCACATCAGCGCAGCGGAAACAGTCGTCTACTGAAGCCAGGCACCGGCGGTTGAAATGGACTGAGTCTTAAGACGCTAGTGAAGCGCAGTTCTGGCAAAGAGCCCTCCGAGCGCGGATCCAAGGTTGGCGTCAGCGGACACGTCAATAGCCACAGAAGCCCTGGGCAACTGAATATGCAATACGTAGTACTAAGTGTGCTTATACATTTTCATAGGAGAATATGTCGTATACAGTTTATTACATCTAGTACCTAGTATATAGTACACTGTGCAGCTCCACTGGAAGCACTAGGCTTAGGCGGCTTATGTCAAGCCGTGGCCAGTGAGCAGAACAAGACTTGCCGCCGAGCTGCGTGGTTTCAGTGATCGCTTTGTCAACAGCAATGGCAGTGACGCTTGAGGCCTGCTCCCACCGACAGTTCTCTAAATTAGGACCCCGTTTCAGGTCCCCAAAATATTATGGCACCCTTATAAGAAGGACCCTGCTTGGAGAACTACCCTGCAAGATTCGGGCAATGCGAACACGACGGCAGGCATTCAGAATATAGCTATACTTCTTCTAGGCCATCTGTCTTTCATGCAACCCACAGATGTCACCAGCAGGCGTCGTTCTGTCCCCTTGTGCAAGAGCGGGATCATGTAGCAACTCAGTGCATAAAACCATACTCGTCCAACTGATTGAAATTGCCCTGTTCCTGCTTGATACTCCCGCACCGAGCTCAACAAAATGTCGACAATGGCCTCAGCATTGGCATCGTGACCAGCAACAGGAGGCATGTGCGAGAAGTCCGCAACCTCAGAAGACTTTCGGTCGTAGCAGCGAGTGCTGGGAGAGGTTGACCGATTCCAAGAACCTAATGTAGGAGCCTTGATAATTAGAATAGGGTTTGGGGTATATTATACCATAATGACAATGAGGAAACCCTAAAACCCTATTCTAATTATTAAGGCCCCTACATCACTCAAAAACATCCTTAGCTGCAGCAGAGTGTGGGGGCCCCGACCCACTCGAGCTCCAAAGCAGGAGGTGCCTGCTCCTTTCTACAGCGCGACATAGCAGCTGCAGTTCTAGAAGCTGGTGCGTACCGATGCTCCAAGCCCAGAGACCTGCAAGTCACTTACGCCGATCCAGAATCTCACAGGACAGCACGACAACTTGAGCCCAGAACTTCCCCAACAGATCAGCTCCTGCGAAGCCTCCTTGCCCGTGTCGGCAGACCGGACCAGCCCTGTGGAGACGAATTCCTCGACCTCCCAAACGACAGCGATTCAGGGTCGAAGATTTGGGGGTTTCGGCGCTCACCCCCGGCTGCAGTACGCCAGGCGAGGCTCTTGGTGATTGGTGGGGTTTCGGGTTTGGAGCCATGAACCCAGAACGAACGGTGCGAGGTGGGATTTCAATTGAAAGACTCGGATGCTGCTCAAAAAGCCGGCCAACTTACCCTAAACCCGAGGCTTTAGGAAACTTTAGGCCCTTACATAGGGTAAACATAGGTAAACCCTAAACCCTATAAGCCCTAGACCGTTAGCCTAAAGGTACTGCAGAACAAGGCAGCTGGCCTCGGATGCCAGGGCCAGAGCTGTTGGGCGGCTTTCCGGTGACCGGCAGAGGCTGCTGCGGAGCCACCTTCGGCTTGATTTCGGGTTTCGGGAGGGATTTGTTGGACTCCTACTTTGCAAGGACAAAGTTTAGGGGTTTACACTCTCACAACTCGGACAAGCCACGCGAGGATCCATAGGTGCACAAGTCGGCGTGACACTTCAAGCTGCCCATGAAGGGGTTTAGGGTTTAGGGTTCAGGAGAGTTTTGGGTGCAGGGTCTGTTTTAGGAGGCTTCATGATTCAGGGTTTTGGTCGACTCCGTTTGGACATGCTTTTGCAGTCTGCCACGTCTCTAGGATTTGGAGAGAAAGAGAGAGATGAGTGTGCCAAACTGTGCACACATGCACGAGTAAATACATAAAGCGCGCGAAAACATGCAGGTCAACAAGCACGCATCAGTAAGTTGACACAAAACATAATGTGTACATAAGTGCATAACAGGCGGAGGATCGCCACGGCATATATATATATATACATACATACATACATACATACATACATACATACATACACATATACATACACACACACACATGTACACACACACACACACGCATAGAGGCAAGCTGGGTATGCACTCCCATGGCCGACTGGTAGACAGGGTCATTCCACTGACACGCGGAGACCATGCAGACATGCACGCGCACGCACACACACACACACACACATACACACACATGTGGCCACTTTTTTCAGGGTTTCTGTTGCTGCTTTGCCTTTTCCATGGGCTCCAGATTGACAGAACAAGTGACATGCCAACTCTGGCAGGCTCCAGGTTGTGCTTGGTTGGGGGTGTTTGCCCTTGGTGCACGCAAGGCTTCCTGCAGGCCATGAAGTCTCAGGCTGGAAGACTTCGAGTTCAACTTTCAGGCATCTTAATCTTCTAGGTGCTTGCGGCCAGGGATGGCCAGGGATTAGCCAAAGCTTCTGCACAGGTCGCTGCCTGATGATGTCTGCAGGGTATGCCTCGGCATAATGACCGTGCGAACAGGCAGCTGGCTATGCCGTGTCAAATGCACTGGGATGGCGGCTGCTTCTGCCTCTATCGGCAGGTGAAAGCGCGCCTGCATGCTCAAAGCGACTATAAGAACGACCTGCAGCTACGCCGGTGCGAATGCTTGAGCCTTTCAAGAGAGGCCCGATGCCGGCGGCGCGCGCCTGAATGTTGGCAAGCAGCGAGTCCATGGGGAACGGGTGAACGCCAGCCAGGCAAGCATACAGCACACAACCTGATGCAGGCAACAGTGCAAGGTCTTCTGGGCAGCAGGTTCAACTGAAAGGCTGTCTAGCATTACCGCCGCAAGTGGCAAACTGTAACGGTGAGGAATACAAGCAAACTTCAAGGACTACCCGAGACAGACCCTCGATGCTGCAGCGCTGGGCCGCCCCGCCGAGAGCAAAAATGTCCGCCTTGGGGCCTCAAAAGAGCTGTCGCGCGTATCGCCGTTGCATTTCACGACCTGTGCTGGAGAATATCTGAGGCGGCCACCTATCGGCCATCTGAGATGCACATCGGCAACCTCTTGGCACAAGGCGAGCTGTTCTCGACAAAGAGCGGGGAGGTTCCGAGCCGAAGTCTCTGCCTACTGTAAACAAAAGACGGCATGCAAGAAGACACGTCTGGCCACTGCCCCCCCCCCTTCCCCCCCAAAAGAAAGGTCTCATGTGAAGAAAAAGGAACTCAGACCGTGCTCCGGGAGACAACGAACAATTGCACCCGATGGGCAGGCACACTGAACCAGCGAACGGAGACCGAAAAATAGTGTTTGTTTGCCGCACCAGCATAAACACCTGCCTCTGGCGCCCGGTAGATCGTCGTGCAACGACCGTGCACGAACTCCTCTGCCTCGAGCAGAACAAGCGATCTCCCTAACCCTAACCAAACACCGCGGCTTGAAGTCTGGTTTTTCGATGCTCCAGACATCAAAATCCACGCCGTCTGACCACATGGACCCCGAAAGCAAAGCCTCCCATGACCTGATCTTAAAGGCACTGGAGAAGTTGGACGCCTTATGGGAGTCACTGGCCTGCATGCCCTCTGCCAAACATGGCAGTCCAGGGTGCCGTCTAAGCTAGGCATATCTAGAATCGAGGCCCCATCCACAGAACGCAGTGAAATCCGGACTAAAAGCTAGGTTTGAATGCTTCGGTCTCCCGCATTGAAACCATAAAG